CAAATCAGTTAATTGTAGATATGCAAAAATAAATAATAAAAGAAAAAGAATCTGCGTGCTTCAGGAAAATAAACTGAGCAACAATTTAGAAGAGAGAGCAAATGAAAGGCGGCACGGTGGTGTGTTTGCTCTGGGGGGGCTGGCTTCAGAAAGGACCTTCGCCTCGCCTGACACCGACCCAGCTCCCCTCAGTTTGTGTCAGTTCTGCTATCAACCTAATTACATTTGCATCAGTTGGACAAACAGATTACGGTATCTCGGTGCCACAGCCCCAAGTTTGCCTGATGCAGTTCAATACGGCCACGGAGGAGAACTGGTGACGCGCAGCCAGCCGCAGCCCTGCCCTCTGCCAGGCAGCTGCACAGAGGCACAGCCCCACCGCGCCAGGGCTGGAGCTCTAAAACCACCACTGCCACGGAACAACAAGAGCCTCACCTGCCCAAACCTGAAAAGTTGCAGCACAGACCCACCAGCCTGTCGAGTTGCACTGAAGGGTCTCGGGCTGCAAGGGCGCGGAGCAGGCAGACAAAGCACAGTGGCCGACGCTGGCATTTGCTGAGGATCAAGTTCAGTTCAATAGACAGTTAAAAAACTTCCCAAAATTTTACAGAAACCAGTCCCCCAGCTCACATCCAACTGGATAATCGAACATACACAACAGTCCTTGCACAAGGCTGAAAAAAAAAGAGCGAGCTAAAAGCTTGCTCAGGGGAGCAAAATTTAATCTCTGCCTTTATTTGCAAAATAGGAAGAGGTGAGATGATCCCAGCGCATGCCTGCATCAGCGGCATCTTCCGAGCCAAGGCAGTATCGATTCCGAACCGCAGGCTGCGATCTGCAGCCGCAGCAGCCGTGCACATGCTGTGTGCAGCCAGTGCTGCTGGGCAGGGGCATGCAGAAACCGGGGGGTGCTGGAACAGGGGAGCAGGGGCTCAAACCTTGGGCTGAGCACACCTGCAAACCTGAGAACCCCTCCTGTGCAGCTGGGAGAAACAACACCTACTTAGCAGCCAAGATTCATCCCCACTGGAGATGGTTTTCTCTCCTCCACAGATGCAATCAGTCCCTATCTGACACGGGAAACACCCCGCGCAGGCATCAACGCTTAAATATTAATGTTGCTATGATATTCCCCATCATATTTCTACAACAGGCTGCAGTGTGCAAGCGAACCTAAGTTGCAATAAATCTGAATTTTTGATCATTCGGTGGAGAAATCGTGCAAAGCGAGGGAACCCAGCCCCAAAAGGCTGTTCTAGAAAAAAACCAAACTATTCATTTTGGTTCTGTGTCGAGCAGCAAATCCAGGATCACGCCCCAAGGCAATTTCAGTGCTGCAAAATATTTGGGACGAAGATGATTGTAGCAAACATTTTCCGACATATTACTTACACACCACAGATGAGATAAAATCCATAATCTTTGTAATTATACTCTGGAGGTATCGGTCCTGTTTATTTCTGGGGGGAAGATGCGGAAGGGTTCTATTCTGACCGCACGTACACAAGCCCTGTACTCAGCACAGCCACACCGCAGTTGGGGAACATCCCTATTACAAGTGTAAATTAAATCCTACAAAATAATATGGAGATTATAAAAATTGCGTTAAAACTGGTAACAGCTTTACTGATTTACTGACAATGAAAATATATAGCATTTTTTCTGTCGGAACATTTATCAACACATGGCAACCCCAGAATAACTTGACATGTAAAATGATCAAAATGGATTATGGAATCTCTCCCGCTCATTTCTATTGATTTTAGTTATGATAAAATTCATCAGTGTGCAAAGGAGCGCTCGCGACTGGCATTTCCCCCCCTGGCCCCGCAGCCGGGCCAGCGTTCGTAGGAGATGGCGGTGCAGAACGCCTTACCCCGTGTCAGCGCCGCGCACAGCCCGACGGCCGGGAATGCTAAGTGCTGGATTAACTCCTCATTTTCACTTCCCAACTGCCAAGCGCTACATTCTGAGCTAAAATGGGAAAGTATGGACAAAATTATGTCATGTGTACTAAGGAGCATCTAGCTGAGCATTTTTCCTTTAAAAGTAAACTTTTTCGGGGGTAATCGAAGTTATTTTTGTAAGTGCCATAAGCAGCCGCCGGCGGAGGGACCGTTTTTAATCAGCTTTATTGATTCATGCTCTCAGTTCTTACTCAGTTAAAAACAAGGCACATTAAATACATCCTCTTATTGCTCTATAAATGCATGCGGCTCATTCTGGATATCAAAAGTAATAAATAACGGCAGTAAAACACCAAGACAGTTATAAAAATGACAACCCAGCCTCCAACACAGTATTTAACAGTTCGGTCTAGAAGAGTAACCTCAGAAAATACCCCAGTGCCACACGTAGAACGTGCAGCGCGGATGTATGTGTGCACGTACATACACACATACAGAAATGCACTGCAAGGATATGCACTCCCCCTCCCCGGGCGTGCAGTTTATTTAAAACACAAGTTAACCCCATCCATCCAGAAATCCAACTCCTACCTCAAAAAAAAAAAAAAAAAAAAATCACGTTTTCCCACCCAGGATCAGAACAATGCAAGACAGTGACATTTTACAGCTCTTTCTACAGTACACTCACACTAAAAAAAAAAAAAAAAAAAAAAAAAATCAAAGCCAACATTCCTGAAAACAAATGCGAGGTGATAAATAAATAGTTCTCGACTTTTTCCACGTAGAGATGTGGCTGTTTTAAGTAACACATGCAACCTCCTCTTGTTACACAAGATCTCGCTGTGCCACACAAAGAGCAGAGGAGCGTGACAGTAAAGTGCCGAAGATTCAAAGCAAATTCATATCGGAGGACACACACAGAGCCCAGAAAATCCCAGAGTCACATTCCGTATGCAACACCACTGAAACAAGAGAACAAAGAGTACACTTTGGGTGCAAAGCAGGAAATCCTGGCTTCACAGGTAAACTGGCATTATCAATTCTTAACAGTGCCATTTCCAGAGGAGTGGAGGAGAATTTTTCTTTAAGCCATACAAGAGGTGTTAAATATTGTCAATTTTTTTTTCTTTATGTGGCCTGGAAAAGGTCTTTCAATTTTTTTTTTTTTCTTAAATTCCTGTTAACAGCAGAATCGAACCCCCCTTCCCCTGCTCACTGCACCAACCCAACCCGTGCACGGCACACCCCCTCCGGTCCTGCAGGATACGTGAAATCTGCTCTTGGGGTCTTACTTGAGAAGGGGTTTGGGAACACAAAGCTGCGACAAACATTTACATACTTTACCTGAATACACTGCAACATATTGCAAAACCAAACAGTTTACAGGACCACAGAAACAAACCCTTTTGTTCATAAAAATGTTTTTCTGTTGTCAAATGTGCCACCTCCTCGGGTCACACAGACCGTGCCTCGCCAGCACCCGCAGCAAGACAGACACGACCCCTGATGCAATATCTGCATTTTGGTGCAAGGCAGCATAAAAAAACCTTAACATGCAAAAACCATCGGAAAGGCATTTTACCCCAGACTGTCTCCTTCCCTGCAGATTTTACCAATCGTTTGGACTGATGGAAATACAACTATTTATGGAATTTTAAATGAGGCTTGCTTTTTCTTTTGGTACCTATTACACACCTAAATTTTTAATATTTTTAAAGAACACTGACTTTCCAGCCAAACACAACATCTGTTCATCCTCTGCTACATGCTAACACTCCTCAGCATCTCCGTTTTGTGTCTGTAATCATTTTCCTTTATCCAAGTAATCCTTGCTGTTCGTCCCTCTACTGCCATTTTCCATTAGCGAAAGCGGTGACATCAGTTCAATTACGTCACATTTTACACAAGCAGAAACTCTGACACCTCGGAACTGCAGCTTGTTTTGAGTTGCAAATTGGTATTTATGTTCCAAGAATATAACAGAGTGACAAATCCATCAATAAACCATTCCTATGCTTTTCCCTTCCTTGGTCTACGTCAGGCAGGAATCTTCCCTCTGATCTCAAACCTCGTCGATGGAAGAAGAGACGGGCAAACAGCCAGACACAGCACTGTTGGAAACAGCTCAGGTGACTAGTCCTGGTTTTTAAATATTTTTTTTCATTAATTTACTCAAAAAATTTCACTTTTCACTTTTCTACAGAAGTTAGTGGAATGCAAACCAAATTTCATTGCTTTACTTCGTGTTTGAGAGTTTTCAAAGAAACAATTAAGACTTAAACTATCAAAACTGCCGCATTCCACATACCATCAGTGTTTGTCCAGAACTGGAAACAGCCTGAATGCTTTACAGCACAGAACACCACCTGCGAGGCAATGCTATTTATTAAAGGAAGATTATTTTTATTAACATGAGAGAAAGGAAAACCATCCCCTAGCTTTTAACTAAATTATTAGCTTGGGTGATTAATCAACATGTCTTGTAGTTTTCCAGCTTCGTACTGTTGGTATTTTTGTCGGGCCAAGTATTGGTGCCACTGAAATAACAGAGCACTTGAACGAGCAAACCCAGCCTTCCCATCGCATTAGTAAAATCAAAGTATTATTTAAAGTATTATTTAAATACATATTTAAATACTTATTTAAAGTGTTATTTAAATACTAAATGCATATTTGCAAAACTCAATGCAATTTAAAGGCAGGATTCACTTTGAGAATTGCTTTCTTTCAAGGTAAAGGTGATAGAAAAGTTCCTGAACAAGGCAGTATGTGCACGTGCGCTTGCGTGTGCACCCAAATCCTTTTAGACTGTGTTTCTGAACTCTTGTTAATAACCTCTCATGTCTAAAAAATACCCAATCCAAAAGGCCACATACTGGATTATGAAGAGCTGTACAGAAAACCATTAATCATGAAAAGAAATGCACCCATGTATTTCTGTGAGAGCTACACCGATGGAC